AGGTTTAAAGAGAAATCAGGCACTAGGGAGATGTCTGGAGAGCTACAAAAATGACACAAACTAACAATCTAAACAACAGAGGAGAGGCTGCCTTAAATGCCCTCTCCTGATAATGAGATTGATGACTAATTAATATGCCATAGTATAGCCTTCATCCAGCAGCTGGTGGAAGTAGAAGCAGACACCCACAGCTAAACCTTGAACTGAAATCCAGTTGCAGAGGAGGACTGATGAGCAAAGGGGTCCATAGCAGGTTGGTAAAACCCACAGAAACAGTTGACTTGAACAAGGGAGAGCTCTTCGTTCCCACACTGATAGCTGGGAAATCAGCATGGGACTGATCCAGACCCCTGAATGTGGGTGTCAGTGAGGAGACCTCGGAAATCTCTGGGGCCCCTTGTAGTGGATCAGTACTTATACTTAGCATAGGAATGGACTTTGAGAGCCTATCCCACATGGAGAGATACTCCCTGAGCCTAGACACAAAGGGGTGGTCTTAGGCCCTATCCCAAAGGATATGACAGACTCTGAAGTCCCCCCATGGAAGGCCTCACCCTCCCTGGGTAGCAGAAAGAGCATGGGTTAGGTAGGGCATTAGTTGGGGGGACAGGGGAGGAGGGGAGGGAGAGGGACCTGGGATTGATATGTAAAATAATTTTCTTTCTATTTAAAATAAAAAAAGAAAAAGAAAACAGTACAGGGTTATTCCCAATAGCCAAGGCATGGAGGCAAGTGAAATGTCTATCCATGGATGAGTGAATAAAGAAATTAATAAGGAAAAAATGTTTTAGAAGCAAAAAAGAGAAAAGAATCAATTTTAATAATTTTCCTCACCTGTTGAAGGTAATTTATGTTGTTTCCATTTCCTAGCTACTGTGATTAGGGTGTCTACAAACATCACAGAGCAAGCATTTGTTGAGTAGATGTCGTATCTTCTGAGCATTTATATACCCGCAAGTTATATAGGTGAGTCATGAGGTAGTTTTATTTGTAGTTTTTTTTTTTTTTTGCAGATTATCCAAACTGATTTCTAGAATGGTTGCACAAATTTGCATTTCCACCAACAGTGAGCTATCGTTCAGCTTTTTCACAACCTCTCCAGGATTTCTTGTTGACATTTCTCATTCTCACTAGAGTAATATGTAATTTCAAAAGTTGTTTTAAATTGCATTTCTCTTACTCCTGAAGACAGTTATGAGGTATATTTTTGTCATTTTTATTTCTGTTATTGAGAAATGTCTTTTAGAAGCACGGCTTACTTTTCAAGTGGATCATTTGTTTACTTGAAATTTTTTTAGTTCTTTGTACATTGTGGATATTAATCCTCCATAAGCTGTATACTGACAGAGATTTTCTCCTATTCTGTAGGTTTCTTCACTTAAGTGATTTATTCTTAATCTTTTCATGAGTCATTAAGATATATGAAGTCCCAGTTGTTGAATGCGGGACACAATCCTGGCAACTGGAGTCCTGTTTAAAAAGTGTTTTTCTATACCTGTATCTTTTAGCATATTGCTTAAATTTTCTGCTAGCAGAGTTAGACTTCCAGGTTTCAAATTGAAGTCTTCTATCCACTTGTATCTCAATTTTTGTGCAGATTGATGAATATGTAACTAATAACATTCTTCTGCTTATAGACACCCAGTTTTAAATATCCCTCAACAGAAAAACAGATAAAGAAAATATGGGAAATATAAGCAATAAAATACTATTCAGCTATTCTATATGTGAAAACATGAAATTTTCATGTAAATGGATGGAACTAGGAAAGCTTATATTGAGTGATTTAATACAGTCTCAAAAAGATAAACATCACTGTATGATCTCTCTTGGCTGTGGTTCTTAGCTCTGAATCCTCACATGTGAACATGCATCATGGAATAACCACAGAAACTAGGAAAGTATAAAATATAAAGTATTGGGAAGAGAGTTGAAAGTAAGAATCTGGTGGTATGAAATGAAAAATAAAACAACTGACAGGGAGGCTTCAAATAGGGAAAAAGGGGGTAGGATTAGAGAGAGAGATAAGGAGGGACAAATAATACCAAGGTTGTTTGATAAATCCCCAGAGAACTACATTCTTTTATATTGTTCTAAAATTATGCAAAATAGATATAAATTTCAATATATATATATATATATATATATATGAGGCCTTATTGCTGAAGAAAATACAAGGCATCACACACTAAGAACATGTGACTTAGATGATTTGAAATGGATTTGACTTG